TTCTTAATTTTTTTTAAAAAAATTAATATTTTAAAATAATAAAAAATAGAATAAAAAATTAATATTTTGAGACGGGAAATATATTTTATTCTCTGGAGATGTGTTGTTCGTCTATTTGGATCAATTTTGAGTGAAGGTTCAACATGGAGCTGAGTGGGCTCAGATTGAGTTAGTTTGTAGGCTAAAATTATAGACTCAACAGGCTAATAGGCTAGACCGCCTTCTTTTGGTATTTTCTTTTTTTTTTTTTTTTATTTTTTTTCATTTTCCTCTATTTTTTCATGTTTTCTTTTCGACCGAACTAGCCTTCAAACCCTAAGCCCAAGCCCAGACTTGGCCCAAAATTCTTTTCGGTCACGCTAACTAACCCGAGGAATGGGCTTAGATCATTTAAAAGTTCGTGGGGCCAAGCAGTGGGCCTAGGCCATATGATTGATATTTGGGGAACTTACTGATAAGTCCCATGTAACAAGTTCAAAACCCAACTAATTCCAAAACAAAATACTTGCACCAATTAGTCCAACACATTTTTAATTGTTACCAAAAAATCCTTTTTTTTTTTTTTTTTAATTTATAGACACTGTTCACATCTTACTACCGTCGGACTTCCGTTTAACGGTCGCCGGAGACTCACCGGAATGTCTAGAATATTGCCGGAAAAAAAAATTAAAAAACATGTTATGAAACTGTAAAATTTTACAGTTCTAAAGAATGTTATAAAACTGCAAAATTTTACAGTTTTAAACCATGATTCATTCCAGCACCAAAAAAAAATTTGTTTGTTGACAGTTTTGCCACTGCTAGTATTATTGATTGACATTTGGTGTGGGTTTGTTTGGGATAAGGTGAATGGGTGTTTGTGTGTCACGCTGATCGAAAAAGCATACTAATACTGTTTTTAATTTAGTAAGTGTGTAACACTCAAAACATGAGACATGGGTTGTGACGTGAACACAAGTAATTTGACACATTTTTTTTTTTTTGTGACGTGGATTGTTTCACGTTTCGGCTTTCCATTAGTTTGACCCTTTGTTTTCCAATTGCCATTTGTGACGTTTTGACGTGAACCTCACCGATTCCACCGATTCTGGTTCTCAATCTCACCGATTCACAGTTATGGTTCTCAATCTCAATCTCAGTTCTGGTTCCACAATTCTGGTTCCACACTGGTTTCACCAATAATCGAAACGATTTGCCGGATTCCTTCATCGTCGTCTTGTACTCTGATTTCGATCTGCCCGAAATCAGAACCAAAATCAGAAACGAATTCAGTACTGTTCATGTGGATCTTGTGCCCATTGTTCACGTCGATCTTGTGTCCATTGTTCACGACGATGCCCATTGTTCACGTCGATCTTGTGCCCATTTCTACTCGGATTTTTCAAAACCCGAAATCAGAACCGAAATCAGTACTGTTCACGTCAATCTTGTGCCCATTGTTCACGTCGATCTGGGGTTTCTTGATTGAACTCGAACCGATTCAGAGATTGCCTTCTCCTCCTCACAATCACCAAGTGAAAAACGGATCCCTCTGTTTTTCTTTTGAGCACTGTTGGCGTACAACACCTTGGTCTTTCCTTGAACGATGGCTTCCTTAACCATTTCCAAGTCCCTCAGATCCACAAACGTCGTCGTTATATTGCAAGTGCGTGGGAAGAAATGGGTGAGAAGTGCGTGGGTCCCACCGTAAAGTGTCCGAGAAGCCACCACGTGTCCGCCGCTGCTGCAGAGTTGCAACAGCACCGACGATACAGGGGACATGCCACTGGAGGTGCAGTAGGCGGCTTCGGTGCCCTCCAGAGCCGCCATCTGGCGTGCAAGGTTGAGAACCGTCGGATTGAAGTGGTGGCTGCAGATGAAGAAGTCGCGATCTGGGCCGAGTTGCCGGAGAACATACGCCGTATGGTCTCCGATTCCATCACGGTGAATGTGGCTGAGGCTTCGACCAATGGAATACACTATCACACCTACACCCACCCCCCACCAAACGTGGGATTACATATAAAAAAATGAAAACAAAACAGCCCATAATTGATGTGAGGGCATATTTGTCCCCCACATAACAATGTAATTCAAAAAAGGAGTTATTAGTAAGATATCTCTACTATCATGGACAGCCCAATCAAACAAAATATTCGTGAGACCAAATGGAATACAATTTCGCCATATGGGACTTTCTGATAAATTCCCCTTAATTTAACTTTCGATACTTTCAAAAAAGTTATATAATTTGATCCACAATAATGTTGTATGATAGATATTAATTTTTAATTTATCACACACTCAATCATAGGGTTGAACTCATTTATCATCATTTCTTTCATTTTTTTTTTTCTTCCCCCTTCACTCCTGTTTGCAAACCAGTTTCTTAAACAATGTCATCAAATATATATACAATTCAATAATACTAGAATGATAATTTTTCATATGAATTTAATGGATCCCACCAGTGTAGCAAAATCATGGGTGTGTGTAGGTAGGGTTGGGGTGTGTTGAGGTGCACTCAAAGCTGCAATGCAGGGATTGATTTTTATTCGCATGCTGATGCTCTGTCTCTGCTTCTCTGCTACTCTTTTCTTTTTGCGTTCTTATGCACAGCGCACAAAGTGTAGTTTCCATTGCATACACAATAAACACATCTCAGGAGAATTTGGAATGAAAAACAAAACTAGAAGGCCAAAGTGAAATTCAAAACAAATTATAGAGGCTATTAATGTCACGTATTCATTACACTGGTAGTTCTTATAATTTTTTTAAAATCTCAATTTGATCCCTCTAGTTTTTAAAATATTAGTAATACATGATAAAGGGATTACGTTACAATAAAATTAAAAGTGTAGAGATTAAATTACTCAAATTAAAATTATAAAAATTAAAGTGACACTTCATCCAAACTTATGAACCAGCAGTGTAATTTATCCGATAAAATTTGGATACCTTCTTTTTTTCACTTCTCTCTTCCTAGGCACTTTCACCCTTAAATTCTTCTCCTTTTGCTTTGCAGTCACACATATATATATATATATATATATTAGCGGGTGACACACACGATGTGTGTGCAATTTAAATAAGTAAGAATAAAAAAAAATAATAATGAAATTAATATTATAATGTGTACTTAGTTTAAGTGGTATGAGTCGTCGTACTTAAACCCATGGTCATGGGTTCAAGCCTTGTCCATCTCTTTGTTTAACTTTTTTTAAAAAAATAAAAAAGACTGCCACATGGCATGAGGAGAGTAAAGCTTCCGGACACCATATTATATGTTCACTTTATAATAGTATAGATAGATATTCCATCTCTTTATAGATTTTGGTGTCCAAAAGCATTTGGTCTTGCAGCCTCGCTTATGTAGAAAGAAAAAGAGAAATAAAGGGTTGGGGTTGGGGAAAGCTAGGCGGAGAAAAGAATTAAAACTGTTGGGTTTCGAAAGGAAGGCATGGAGTAGGATTGGCCATTGGCCTGCCCAGCCCGTCCAGTTTAAAAGGATTGCGTAAAATATTGTTTAATTTACACCGAATCATTTAATTTGTATTGATTTGTTCGTTAATCGCAGGTTAATTTGATTTGCAGTTTAAAATTTATAATTTGTTTTCGAAACAACCATGCTCTGATATAGTTAATACCTATGTATTTTTTTTTTTTATCTCTGGGAGTTATTTAATATGGGAAATTTATTGCAAATTGGTACTATATATATAAAAAATATTATATAAAATTAGTTGGTGTTATATATATGAAAAATATCATGCCAATTAATATTACATATTATGTAAATGGTTGATAATTATTTAGGATTATTTTTCAATCAATTAGCAAATTGAAACTGTCCAAACCGCGATTTGGTTATTGTCAATCCACTATTGACAGTTTGATTTATAATTATATCCTCAAGTCATACCAAACCGCACCGTGCACACCCATACTGTTTAGTTTGATATTTTTAAAATTTGGGAAATTACTTTTGCCATAGAGTCAAACTGGACTAAGATTTTATACTCATTTAATATTCAGGCTACACTTGAGATAAAGGTTTTTAGCAGGGTCCGACTCATATAAAATATTAATTATGATTTTATATTATTTTAATTATAAAATAAAGTAAAAAAATTATAAAATCTAAAAAATTATACATCTATTTCTTTCCAGAAATGCCTCATACACCCACTGGGGGTCGACCCCCAGTGAGGTGGCACTCCCTTATTTGACAAAAAAAAAAACTGTTTTTTTTTTTTTTTTTTTTTTCAATCTTACCCTCAGTGGAGACGCGACACCTCACTGGGGGTGCAACCCCCACTGGGGGTATGCATCAGTGTTGATTTCTTTCTAGGGTTTAAATTAAAATATTTGTTAAAAATCATATTTATTTATTAATTTTTGGTTACAAAAAATGGTGAGATAGATAGGCTATTCCAACCTCACTGCCAGGGCACATTGTCCCATAGCACTCACAGGGCATCTGCCGGACCAATGGTAGCCTCCGTTTAGGGTGTGGGTTGACTTTTTGACTTTTTTAATTATTTTAGTTTGGGTTAAAAAGTTTAGTTTGGAAAGGACTTTTTGATTTTTTTAACTTTTTTTATAAGAGAATAATGTAATGATTATAAATTAAATGTGATATTTTATTTTTATGACTAAAATAATATATTTTATCTTTTGTGACTAAAATAATCACTTTATCTCTTTCCAAGCAATTATCAACAGTCCTACGCGTTGGGAGTGGTATATAATAGAGAGAAAAATGCTTGGGAGCACTAATTAGTGCTCCCACTAATTAGGTGGCAGTGGGTCCCGCCATTAATGATGTGATGTTTTGGTCTTGGTACTGATCGCTCGAGCGACCAATTTTTTAATGCATTAGTGCTATTAGTGGTGATATTTTTAATGGGATGAATCATTGTTGAGAAACAATATACTGACGAGACACTACGGCGTCGTTTTTATGTCCACGGCCTCAACAACATGCTGTAGCATAAATAACACTCAAGTGAAGAAGCGCATTGGCGGCAACAATAACCGAAGAAAGGAGAAACGTTGTCGACAAGCCACGATGGGCGTTCACGGTCTCTGGGAACTGCTTGCCCCCGTCGGCCGCCGCGTCTCCGTCGAAACCCTAGCCGGAAAGAAACTCGCAATCGGTCTTCTCTCCCTTTCAAACCCTAGCTCTAATTCCATTCCCGATCAAAGCAATAGAACGATCGTATATTATTTAATGCTATATCTCAATTTTGTTTTGCAGATGCGAGTATATGGATGATCCAATTCATGAAGGCGATGAGGGACGATAAAGGCGAAATGGTGAAAAACGCTCATATTTTGGGATTCTTTCGCCGAATCTGCAAGCTATTGTTCCTCCGTACCAAGCCAGTCTTCGTCTTTGATGGTGGCACTCCCGCTCTCAAGCGCCGGACTGTCATCGCTCGTCGCAGACAGCGCGAGAATGCTCAGGCTAAGATCCGAAAAACTGCTGAGAAATTGCTCCTCAACCACGTGAGTTTCTTCAAGTGTTTGTGTTTCTGCTATTATATCCAGTTGAATTTGCAAAATTTATTTTGGTTTAGATTTGAAGCTGGTTCTTGCAATCTCTATCGTTTTTGTTCAGCTCATGCTTACTGTTTCTCTAATCTTCAGCGGGCTCTGTAAAATATAATTGACTTTTTGAAGTTTTCGTACGGGAGAAGAAAAGGGACTGTTGTTTTGAGTGGTTGATTTGTCATTTTTTTATTTTTTATTTTTATAGATTTTTTAAAACTGAGTATGGCTTAACTTTTTGGCCTATATTTGGTGAGTTTTACATTTATGTCATTCAAACAATTCTTAAATTTATGATTAAAATTATAAATTTCTGTTTTTTAGTCAATATTCTCACCAACCGAATTTGGGTGGGAATTCACTATCTATTTGTTTGAAGTTGGGGAAATCACAGTGATTAAATCAATTAATACTTTTTGAGTTATGGTTTTTGTTTTTGTTTTTGGTTTTTATTAATAGCTCAGGGCAATGCGGTTGAAAGAACTGGCCAACGATCTCGAAAGCCAACGACAGAAGAATGGTGCTAAGGGTAAAAAGGTTATCACTGATCAGAAAGAAATGGCAGATGACAATGCAGAAGGAAATAATACTGCATCATTTAGTTTAAACCAGGAAGCACTAGATGAAATGTAAGCTTCATACTTGATTGCACTACTAATTTATCATTAAATATGGATGCCAAGAATTCTGATTGTTCTTTATGCCAAGTTGATTAAGGTTGGCAGCATCCCTTGCGGCAGAGGAAGATGAAAGTTTTACTGGCAATGCATCAACCTCTGGCATGGGGATTCCTACGGAAGAAGATAATGACAGTGACGATGAAGAGATGATACTTGTAAGTATTTGTCATATGATTCAAGTTAGATGTCTCATTTTCTGACCTTTACCCATAATGCAGATCT